TCATAAGATATATGAGTACTGGACAGCGTCAAGGTGAAACAGATATAAATAATTAGTCCATAACAATCCCTCCTCTTGAGTAAACAATACTCAAAACCAAACCAAATGGAATAATTATGAAACATCCAAACACAAATGGATCACCCAACAACAAACACAATGGAGAAATAAGGGAAAAATAGTGCAAGTTAAATGACGACCAACAACATATACATTCAGTCAATGTAAGATACAACAGGAAAAAGGCTTAAAGACAAATGAAACATTATTACACATCAGAAGAATTGATGAAGAAAGACATCAAAATTAAAAAAAAAACTAAAAAGTCCAAACTCAGACAAGGYATCACAACACAACTTCTGCCCCCAGCGAATTTGATTGCATTAGCCGCTTATGTTCCATCAGAATCTTATCTTGGATAAAGTGTTAACAACTAGTTGTCAATAAATGAACCTTAAGTAATGCAAATTAGGACAATGTGCAAAATTCAGTTCCCACCCCATGCAATTCAAAAGCACTGAAAACAAAACCCACAGTGCCCATAAGGCATGAATCTCAAAATGTATGAATTACTGGCATGAGCTGGCTTGTGCAATGAAGAGAAGAAAACAAAAAAACTAAAGTTTAACAAAAAATAACAAACAAAAGCTAAATCTAAAGTCTAAATTAATCAAACTAAAAGAAATAGCACCCCCTCCTCTTGTTACACCTATGCTAAACCCTAAAGTAAGCTCGGATCCAGTCCTTCTGTGAATGACATAGACATTGTTAGACAGCAACTCTCAGCCCCCTGGACCTCAACAGCAAAACCCAGATGGGCGAATTCTCCCTAAAATATGTCTTCCTGGCGTACCAGGCTCAAGGTAGCCGAAAACCCCCTCCCCAGCCTACCACAAACTCAGAAAGGAACAAATAAACAAAAATATGACTGTCATTGGAGGAGTCTCCGGGAGACTCAGCTGACAATCACCTAAGCTTCACCAGGGAGCTGCACAGAAGGACAAAAAAACTAAGAAATCATAAACCAAAAACAAACAAAACAAACAATAAAATTAAAAAACACTACACCAAACCATCCAGAAGAGTCTAAATGTTTAAAAATTATGTTATGAGATKGGCCTCAGAAAAAAAGACCAGGGGTAACCCTGATACTGCCCAGGAGGGGAAGCCAAATACCAACCCAGCTACCCAGGGCGTCAACTAATCCCTGAGGAAAAAA